AATCATCGAGCCCGCCGAAAAGTCATCAGCCGCCATCATCGCGGATGCATCGCTCCAGGGATGGGGCGCCTTTTTTATTTCAGACTCCGGCGACGTTGGAATTGCCGGATGAAAATAGGAGAGGAAGCCTTTTCTTATCATGCAGGCCGAGGCACGCGCGGTACGCTTAGCCTTATCGGCCTTTCCCGCCATCCTGCCATCCACCATGGACGTTTGGATGGGCAATAATTCGCTGCGAATAAAGGCAGCTCGAAAACACACGCCATGACGTGGAGGCTGCGACGGATACATGGGTTTTTGGACTCTTGCGGAATACAGGCATTCTTTGCCTACGTGCGGTCTGCAGAAAGCCCCGCAGACGGCGTATCACGCGGTCGTGTGTTTGCAGTTCAGGACTTGGTGAAGGGGTGGAACTTGCGAAGGGGAGCGGCGGGGTCTTGTGGTTGGAGGACCCAAAGTCTGCCACTTCGTAATAAATAAATAAATAAATAAATAAATAAATAAATAAATAAATAAAAAATATATACACTTATTTGATGTTACACGTTGAGGGTATAATGGTGAATCCATTCCTATTCCATACATTCCTTTCTTATTCTTACCTTGTTTGTTTTCTGTGATTGATAAACTCGGGATCCGGCCAGCTGCTCAGAAGATTATTCTGTTTTTTATTTTTCTTATGAAGAGATGCGTCGTTTTCTACATATTGGCATTTCTCACTTGTACCTGGCTCGATTTCTTATCGTCGGCACACGCGGAATTGTACCTGAAATTGGTTTTTTACCCGCGTTTGAAAGTCGGCGTAGGAGGCGTATGAGGCTTGGTGGAGAAAACGCGAAAAACGATACAGAAACAAGCGGTGTTCCAGTGGTTCCGGCGATGGACGAATACGAAGCAAAGTCAATCTGTTTTGAGAAGTATGGCTTTATTCAAAAACCTCTACTTGTGAAAAATTGGTCGTTTTTTTTGCAAGAGCTACGCCGAATTGAGTTCCGTTGGGCTTTGTCCCCAAACGCCGGTGGTGTTATTGTGTTTACTGCTTTGGAACACGGGAGAGAAGGAGAAAAGGTTCTTTGTAATCTCAAGGGGTCCACAGGATGTGCACCAATTGCCGAGTTTTTTGAGTGCTGCGGAGGTCTTATTCAGGGCAGATGTGACAAATATTTTGTGAAGTTTCTTGATCCTGATGGAGGTGAACATGTGGTTAAGATCGTTTCTAAGCGACAGATTGCTGCTAGTGATAACGTTAGTCCTGTTTTTGATGAACCAATACTTCCTGTGTTAGCACAGCACAACTGTCGGGGAACATCTGTAGAAGTCTCCGTAACAGATTCTAGGACGGGTGTCTTGACTCCTGTGTTTAACGATATATCTTTGCAGACCTTTAATTACGCTTTTCTGACTTCCATACCTGTGTTTCTTAAGCGCAATGATGTTGGGATACGGAACGCTGACTTTGTCTCGAAGGAACAAATGCGGCATTTTCGTTTTGCATGGTGTTTTTTGCGGCGGGAATCGCTAATGACGGCAGTTGAAATGAGTGAGTTAGATCTTTTGTTACCACCTTGATATATATATATATATATATATATATATATATATTTGAAATTAATCTTTAACATTTACATTTCCGAGAGGATATATATATATATATATTCTATCACAATAATTCTTTTTTTTTTTTTTTTTTTCTATATATATTTATAGAGTGTTTTCAAATAATGCGTGCCTTTCGTTTAAGGGGTGCCTCTTTCTTTGGTCAAGGGGCCCTTGTCTCGTACAGAACCCCTCGTGCATGGTGTTCGAATCAGGAAGTTAAGGAAAAAGAAGATACCGACACTAAGAAGGCAACAGAGGGATCTCAATTAAAAGAGGAGACATTTGCAAAACTGGAAAGGGAGCTTGAATCTGCGAGGGAGAATATATCCGAACTAAAAAAGGAAGTACTATATCGTGCTGCAGATGCTGAAAATGCCCGTCGTATTGGACGCGATGATGTTGAGAAAGCGAGAAGTTATGGAATATCATCTTTTGGCAAAGACATGCTGGAGGTTGTGGATACTCTTGAAAAAGGTCTTGAGGCTATGTCAAAGGTTTCTGCTGAGGAAATTGAAAGTAATAAAAATTTGAGTTCTATTCACACGGGTGTCAAACTTTCTCTCAAGTTGCTGCTGAACAATTTAGCAAAACATGGGATTGAGAAGCTGGATGTCAAGGTGGGTTCTAAGTTTGATCCTAACATTCATGAGGCCCTTATCAAAACGCCTGCAAGCTCCGAATTTCCAAGCGGCCACATTTCTATTGTTCTAAAAGTTGGATACAAGATTAAGGAACGTATACTGCGAGCACCCCAAGTTGGTGTCGCCGGCGAAGGCGAATGAAAAGAAAGGGGAAAATGGGGAATCTAAGCTTGCGCGCACATTTCTGGTTTTATTTTATTTTTTCTTTTTAAGAATGATGGGGTAAAATGAAAAGAGCCATCCCAATCACCCCAATAAAAGAGAGAATGAAAGAGGGGGATAAATAGAGAGAGAGAGAGAGAAAAGAGAGGGAATAAAACGGAGAAATGGCTCTTTGTTGGGTTTTATCACATGAAAATTGAGGTATTTAAATAATATGGTCTTTTAAGGATTTTATTTGCCTGTTTCCAATTAATAATCTTAATATTATCTATGATTTTTTTCCCTTACTTATGGCTTTTTCATAAAATTTTCACTTACAAATTGTAGATGAATAGGCAGGAAGTTGGGTTTGGATCTTGCAAAGTGAGATTCTTATTCTCCGCGACAGACAAAAGTGAAGGGGCATTGGATACCATCATTTTCTTCGGCAAATGTTTTTTACGTATGCTTTTTCTTGGTGCAGACATGAGATTAATTTTGCCTTAGTGTTCCGAACGGCATCAGTATTGGGCATTATTTACTCCACCGAATAAAACGGCACAATAATAATTCCTTTTCGAAGCAGCCAAAAATAATGGACATAAATTTTGTACTATTTTTACCCTTTTTGTTCTTTTCCTCTCCCTCTATTTTTTTTTTTCTTTCTGATTTCTCCTCCTCTTGAGAGAAAGCAATTGCATTAAATCAGCAATTAAAAATAATTTTATTTCGCAGCAATCCCCCAAAAATATTTATTTTATTTCTAATTTTTTTATATGCTTTATTTTTTTTTTATTGTTGTTTTCATTTGTTTTCTGGTAAATTTGGAGGTCTGTAGCTATTGTCCATTACTTCTGTTTAAGGGAAAAAAAAAATTATCGAAATTATGGGTGAGGAAGAAAATAAGAATGAGGAACCCAACCGTATTATGGTGTTTCTCCGCATTCGCCCTCCTAAAAAGGGGGAGATTGATCCTGCAAATGGAACGCATTTTTTGCTTGATATTCAATCGGACAACAAAACCTGTCTATTGGAGTCAAAAACATACACTTATGACTACATCTTCAATGGAGATGTAGATCAAGGCGATATTTATACTAGGGTGGCAGAACCTGTCATTGGTAATGTTTTTAAAGGTTATTGGGGGACTGTAATGGTATATGGCCAAACCGGAACTGGAAAATCGTTCACTATGTGTAACTTTAGCCCAAATAATATGGGCATTATTCCACGTGCTATGAAAGCGATTTTTGATTCCGTGGAAAGTGATTCCGAAAGAAGCTTTACCATTGTTTTCTCCTTTATCCAGATTTACGTTGACAAATTACAGGATCTATTTAATCCAGAAGCCCCAGAATTGAAAATCAACCGAGATAAAAATGGAGTTTCATTTCCTGGGATTGTGGAGCATGCAGTAAAGAACGAAGAAGACTTTCGTCGGCTTTATGATGATGGTAATCAATATCGAGTAATTACTGCTACAAAGATGAATCCGGAAAGTTCTCGCGGACATGCGGCTTTATTTATTCAGGTGAAATCAGTTCCAAAAGACGATCCAGGTGGTGAAGTTCGAAGTGGAAAACTGTTTCTTATTGACCTTGCCGGGTACGAACGGTTTAGTAAAACTGGTGTTCAAGAAGGTCAAATGGCATTGGAGGCAAAAACCATTAACGCATCTCTTCTTTCTCTTGGAAACGTTGTTCAAGCTTTATCGGATCGTTCAGAACACATTCCCTGGCGTAATGCAAAATTAACTCGTATGCTTGAGGATGCTATCGGTGGGCGTGCAAAATGCAGTATTATCCTTACTGCAGGTCCAAGTAGTGAACACATGCACGAAACATTGGGTACACTCTATTTTGGATCTCGTGCAATGGCAGTGAAGACGAATGCTAAACTTGCTGTAAATATTGATTATAAGAAACTGGCTGCAAAGTTACAGGAGTTGTTAACTGCTGCGGAAGGTCGTATTAATACACTCGAAGTGGAGGCGACCCGGCGACAATTGGAACGTGAGGAAGCTGAGGCTGCATTCCAGGCAGAATGGGCTAGAATTAAAAAGGTTCAGCAAGATCAGTTGAATGAGTTACTCGCTTCGGGTGCAACGAAGGAACAGATTGAAGAGCTTATTAGGTCTAATGAAGAGGAAAATCAATTAATGGAGGAACAACAGTATCAACAACGACAGGCACTTGAAGAGCGTCATGAGGAAGAATTGAGGACGTCTTTGGAAAGAGAACAACAATCGTTATTGAATGAGACTGCGGCATCGGCTACAAATATGGGTAAAGATATAGCTGAACTTCAACGTCAGGTTTCCCAGGAACGACAAGAGAAGGAAAGGTTCAAATTGAAAGCAAAAGAGGCTGAAGCGGAGGCACGACGTATATCGATGGAGATGAATGAACTACGAGTACAGATGGAAGGGAATGATATTGGGGCACTATCAGGTTCTCCTTCTAATCCCGAATTCAAGAAGGAGTTTGAACGACGTATTGAGAGTGTGAAGTCCATGTATGAAGAGAATATGCAACTCCGCATCTCTGAGATTCAGGAGTTACATAATGAGGAAGTGACTCGTTACAAGGGGTTGTACGAAGATTTGAAAAGAAATATGGATAAGGAAATAAGATTTCAGAAAGATGCTCTTGTTGCATCTTATGAAGATGAAATCGATAAAATCCGTCAAAGTTCTGCAGATGTTCAAAATAAACTAAAGAAGAACCATCTTGTTGTGAAGCAGTCATATCAGACGCAGAAGGAGGCATTGGAACAAGAAAATAAGGAACTTACTGCTTATTCTGAAGCGTTATTGAAGCAAATACGATCTTTGGGGGTCCAACCAGCTAAC